CTGGTCAAAAAATGTTATTAAATGGCTTGTAAAGAGGTTTTCTAAGTTTGTGTTGTGTATCAGGGACACTGATATCTTCAATTTGCAAGAGTCAGACGTCTGCTGTTACTGTAATTCCACTAAAACTAAGTGTTTGATGATGTCATTAATAACAGACGGCCTTATTTGATACAAGCATATTTTGAAAGTAGTGACATCATCAAACAATTAGTTTTAGTTGAATTACAGGAACCACAGACGTCTTATTGAAAATTGGAATGGCATAAATGGTCATCAAATTACTTGTTCTGGAGATAGAACACCTTTAAAATACATTATTTACCTTAACTTTAGTAAGTGTATGAAGATCAGATATAAATTCTATACAATCATTAATATGTTGTCTCATACATTCAGCCGCATTATAACTTAATAATGATTGAGGTGGTGAGGTGTAGGTCATACCAACATCATCTGATAATATACTAGAACATAGACTACCTCCAGTATCTAATACTACAAACTATAATAAATAGAAACAATAAGTTAATAATGATTGAGGTGGTAAGGTCATACCAACATCATCTGATAATAAACTAGAACATAGACTACCTCCAGTATCTAATACTACAAACTATAATAAATAGAAACATTAAGTTAATAATGATTGAGGTGGTGAGGTGTAGGTCATACCAACATCATCTGATAATATACTAGAACATAGACTACCTCCAGTATCTAATAATACAAACTATAATAAATAGAAACAATAACTTAATAATGATTGAGGTGGTGAGGTGTAGGTCATACCAACATCATCTGATAATATACTAGAACATAGACTACCTCCAGTATCTAATACTACAAACTATAATAAATAGAAACAATAAGTTAATAATGATTGAGGTGGTGAGGTGTAGGTCATACCAACATCATCTGATAATATACTAGAACATAGACTACCTCCAGTATCTAATACTACAAACTATAATAAATAGAAACAATAAGTTAATAATGATTGAGGTGGTGAGGTCATACCAACATCATCTGATAATATACTAGAACATAGACTACCTCCAGTATCTAATACTACAAACTATAATAAATAGAAACAATAAGTTAATAATGATTGAGGTGGTGAGGTCATACCAACATCATCTGATAATATACTAGAACATAGACTACCTCCAGTATCTAATAATACAAACTATAATAAATAGAAACAATAAGTTAATAATGATTGAGGTGGTTAGGTCATACCAACATCATCTGATAATATACTAGAACACACACCACCTTGATATTTTGGTATATCACATAAGTCATCATTATAGGATCTACAAGTATCTACATTTCAAGGTTTTCATGTACTAGGATCAGTAGCCTGCTTTATTTCTATTGAATCTTCAAAAGTCAGTAAATTCTTACCTGTACCAAGACCAGCAAGTTATCATCTGGTATACTTATTTTAAATTTCAATGTAGACACCAGCTCAAATATCACAACTCTTGTCAATAAAATCTTATCTCTCTCCTGTGAAAAAAAAAGCAAATTGACACAATTCCTATTATGTAGCAAGTCTATTTTTCATCTTGTCTTTGAAAAGTATAGTCAAAATTGATGAAAAGAGCTTCAAAAGTCAAAATTGTAAAAGCAGTTCTAGGTATTGGACATGATAGATCTAATAATATCAACAAGATAGTTTTACCTAAAAAGCATAAAACTTTTGAATTATCATCAGTAAATCAATGCTATCCATGGAGCATTTT